CCTCTCCGTCCCTCTGCGCCGAGGAGAGGAGGGTTGGGGCTCTCACCCCCTTTGCCCCGAGGAGAGGAGGGTCGGGGCTGTCACCCCCTTTGCCCCGAGGAGAGGAGGGTTGTGGTTTCACCTGCGTATCCCGTAGATGTAGCAGACGGCGATGGTCTCCACCAGCACGATGAGCAGCAGCGAGAGCGTGGCCGCGTAGTCGTTGAAGATGTCGAACCAGTAGTTCCCAGCCTCCATGGTGAAGATGAGGCCGATGAGGCAGTTGAGGAGACACACAACCCCTGCGTGGGGAGACCAGGGGCTGCTGTTACTGCCTGCGGCAGGGGAACCTCCCACCCCTGTGACTGGAGTGCTGGTGGGGTTCCTGCTGCCTTCTGTCGAGGGGCAGCTTCCTCAGAGGAGAAAGAGGGATTGTTCCCGTTGGAAAAGGCCTGTGTGTGTGTGGCTGTGCTGCTGGGTCCCTAAGCTGCTGCTCCTTACACACGGCCACAGTGTGGAATCACAGAACTGTTCAGGCTGGAAAGGACCTTTCAGATCACTGAGTCCCCCCCCCCCCCATCCCTGCCAGGTCCCCACTGCCCCGTGTCCCTCACCCCACATCTCCACAGCTTGGAGACCCCTCAGCCACGATCGCTCCAGCGCTCGGGGTGCTCCTCAGGGGGAGGGCTGCCCGGGCTGGGCAGGACACCCCGAGGGCACAGCAGCCCCTCCACAGCCCCTTGAGGGGCCGAGGGGGGCTCCAGTGGCTGGGGGAGGGGCCGAGGGGGGCGCCAGTGGCTGTGGGGCACCGGGGGGGCTCACCCGAGATGAGCTCCTTGGGCAGGCGCGTGGCCAGCAGGCGGCTGTCGGTCAGCGGGGTGAGGATGGCAGCAGTGTTGCCCAGCATGCTCCCGATGCCCAGCATCAGCAGCATGACAAAGTAGAGCACCGAGTACAGCTGGGGCACCTCCATGTTCTTGATGGCTTCGGAATAGACGATGAAGGCCAGTCCTGTCCCCTGGACAGCCTGCGGGCACGGGGGCGGGGAGAGGGGGTTACGGGCAGCTCCTCGGGTCCATGGAGGACATCATAGAGACAAGAACAGGGGCGTAGGAGACTGACCCTGTGCCACAACAAAATACACCCCTGGGGGTGGTTTTGCACAGCAGAGGTAGAGGAGAGCATAGAATCATAGAACTGCTTAGGTTGGAAAAGGCCTTTAAGGACTTTGAGTCCAACCATTAATCCAAAGCTACCAAGCCCACTGCTAACCCATGTCCCTCAGCACCACATCTCCACAGCCTTTAAAGCTTCCCAGGGATGAGGACTCCACCACTGCCCTGGGCAGCCTGGGCCAGGCCTGGGCAACCCTTTTGGGGAAGAAATTGTTCCTCAGGGCCAACTTAAACCTCCCCAGGTGAAACCTGAGACCATTTTTCTCTTGTCCTATCCCTTGTTCCCTGGGAGAAGAGATCAACCCAGGTGAAACCTGAGACCGTTTTTCTCTTGTCCTATCCCTTGTTCCCTGGGAGAAGAGATCAACCCCCCAACTTGCTTCAAGTTTACAGAGTTGCAGACCCAATGACCCAAGCGAGCCCCTTGCTGGGTTGAGCCAGTGACCCCCCACCCCATCCTGAGGTGTAGAAACGAGCCCCACCACAGCCCCTGGGCAGGTATCTCCTCGCCGTGGAGCTGTGGGGCTGCCTGGGCTTGGTGGTGGGGAGGAGAAGGTGAAGCCCCAGTGCCACCACAAAGCAGCCACTCACCGTATCCAGTTCAGCTTCCAGGCTGCAGTTTTTGAGCTGAGGCACCAGCTGGGCGTACTCCTGGGGGTGGGTGGCCATGAGGTAGTCCTTCATCTCACTGAGGTTCTCTGCAGTCAGAGAGCCTTCCTCCAGGTCGAAGGCGTTCATCAGCAGCAGGATCACCCTGGGCAGGCAGGAGTTGGATGAATGGCTCACAAAACCCAGGCTGGTGTTACACCTCGCCCCCTCCTCCATCAGCTCTGCTGGCCCCAGGGCTCCAGTCTCCCTGGGAGGGAGCCCCAGCACTCCCAGCACGGTGCTGGGACACAGGGACCTTGCTCATCTCAGCTCCTGCACCCACACTGCTGCTCCTGGGCAGGTATTTTGGGTGCCAGCCAGACCAGTCTTGGCTGGCATCTCTTCCCCTTTGCCCTCCAGTCTCATGTCCACACCCCACCAATTTAACGAGCCTTTTGGCAACGAGCAGGGACTAGCAGCTTGGCTTCCTCTCTGATCAGCAGATAGATTAAAAGCTGTAAAAATATGAGTAAAAGTGTAACTGCCACGGGCCCTGTGCCAGGGGCCACATGCGAGCTCACTGCCTCTGGGCACGGTCCTGCAGGCAGCTGGGCACCTCCAGAGCATCCAGTACCCACCCAGGCTGGGGGTGAGGGGCTGGGGA